ACGGTGTTCGGCTGGCCGGCCGCAGGTAGTTGGGGGCCCAATCAGTGAATCAGCTACTCATGAAAGGCTGCCCTGCCAACTAGCGAAAAATCGCAGGGTGGCCCCATCGTGCCGGTTAGCAACCGTTCGAGCGTCCAAGCAGTCTCCAGATCAAGTTCCAATAGGCACAGTAACTCTGATAGTATCGTTTGGTTGCTAATGCAACGCCTCGTTCAACCGCCACTCTCCATCCTGATTCACTCTCAACACTTAATATGTACATTGCGGTTGCACGTCCTCTCACTAATATTCGAGGATTGCACTCCAATCTCAGTGCAGTCCATCATCATCTTGAGACTGCGAAACCGCATCTACTTTTCTTGTCGGAGACGCAAATTGAATGTCCATTGAATGCAGCGTACCTTGACTATCCTGGATTCTCCCTGGAGCACAAATTCCATACACGTGCCTGAGTATGTGTGTACGTCCGCAATGACATCTGCTTCCAGCGTCTCTGTCACCTTGAAGACCCAACTTTTTTGACAATCTGGGTGATGCTAGATACAGGTATTGATATAATCATTTACGCCTGTGTCTATCAATCGCACAGCGGTGATCCACAGCGGACGCACAGGAGACAACACGATTAGATCACCTTAGTGAGGCTGCTGACGTGGCCCTAAATCGATATCCTACTGCACAGTTGGTCTTTCTGGGAGACTTTAACGCTTGTCACCAAGACTGGCTGTTCCCATACCATAAGACCGACCATGCTGGAAGAGAAGCGTGTTTTGCTTTGACGCTAGGTCTTTCTCAGATGGTAAAGGTAGCGACTAGGGTACCCAATCTAGACGGTCACACAGCAAATTTCTTGGACCTTCCGCTGACTACCAAACCAGACGTCTTTGAAAGTATTCATAGAAGTCTTTGATTAGTACACACACAAAACTATGAGTGGTATAGATGTCTCTGATTAGTATACATAGAATTCTTCGAATAGTATACAAAGAAGTCTTTGAATAGTACATGTACACGCCCTTAGTTGCCCCAACAAAGGTCGACTGGATCAGGGCCCATGAGTGGTCCCGTCGACGAGCAAACAAGGGTGGAGCCCAATGGCCTATGGATAACGGTTCCAACAAACGGCTAACAAATAAGCAAGCACAACAAAACTTACCGATTTCAGGAGGTAGGGCTGACCACATGGTACCAGTCAGGTAATAAGTGAGGTGCATGTAAGTAGTGTGTTGTAGTGTGTACAATGTAAGCTGACTTGACCGTTGAAGTCTGACCGCAGATCCACTAGCACTGCTTCTCTCCAAAGGTGAGATCTCTTAAGGGGGGGCGATCAACAATTGAAAACTTCTGCTTTTATTTCACTGTATTAGTTTATCAACTTATTGTACATTTAATTAACTTCAAAGTCAATGAAATCAACGTTCATTGAAATTAAAACAAGTGACATTCGACACAAGTAAAGAACAGTAGGTTAAAGTTCAATATTCAATGTACCGGGTTCACTTAGCACAGAATTACAAACACGGGAACGAACGCGGTCTCTTCTCGAGTCACAAAGTTCAGCGTTCTCCCGACCAAGCCAAATTCTTTCGTACGATATTATACTGCCACAAGCGTATCAAATTAATGTCAATCAAAGTTAAGTTAATAATTCAAACCCAATACAAGCCTTCCGTCACGAAATCAGACGAATCAATTCGAGGCGGTCTACCTGAGACCTAAATATTCAATAGTAAATTAGGCGCGCACAATTTACTCAAATTCTAGACCGTCAAAATATCTACACCGGCCGCACACAACCAACCCAGCGGTCGCAAACAATACTCAAAACGGTTACAACAAAATTATATGAGATCCGTCTTGTTGTCACGCAAAAATGCACGAGATTAAACAACTTCAAAAAAGGCATTCAACGCGACGTTACAATTCAATATTAACTTCCAAAAACAATTAACCAGTTGACGCGCGACAAGATCTTTTCCAGACTTTAAGACCCGCTTCGTTATCACAAAAAAAAATAAATTAAGATTAAGACGCAACGGTCGGCGCGTACCGTAGGAGGTACGCGCCGACCGTCGCGTAACGACCTTACTTCATACTAGTCGACAAAACCGCGACGTTCAAGTCACTGATGCCGGCGCACGCGGCCGAATTCCGGGAAGCGGTACACCAACGCCCCCCCCCCCCCGGGCGGCGTTTACGTCACCTACATACCATCGGGTGACGCGCCGAGTCAAACGTAATTGGATGCGAATTTCAAAATGCCCATTTTTGGCCTAAACAGTACACATACAAGTCTTTGAGTCCTATACATTGAAGTCTTTGAGTAGTATACATAGAACTCTCTGAATAGTATACATAGAAGGATTTGAATAGTAAACATACAAATCTTTGAGTGGTATACACAGAAACTCTTTGAGTGGTATACATAGAAGTCTTTTAATTGTATACATTTGAGTCTTTGAAGGGTATACGTAGAAGTCTTTTAGTTGTATACATAGAAGTCTTTGAATAGTACATATACAAGTCATTGATAGGTATACATAGAAGTCTTTGATTGGTATACATAGAAGTCTTAGAATAGTAAACATAGAAGTCTTTGAATAGTACACATACAAGTCTTTGAGTGGTATACATAAGTCTTTGATTAGTATACGTAGAATTCTTCGAATAGTATACACAGAAGTGTTTGAATAGTACACATACAAGTCCTGGAGTCCTATACATTGAAGTGTTTGAGTAGTATACACAGAAGTCTCTGTATAATATACATAGAAGTCTTGGAGTGGTATACATAGAAGTATTTGAATAGTACACATAAAAATCTTTGAGTGGTATACACAGAAGTATTTTGTGGTATACATAGATATCTTTGAATAGTATACATATAAGTCTTTGAAGGGTATACATAGAAGTCTTTGAATTGTGTACAAAGAAGTCTTTGAATAGTACATATACATGTCATTGAGTGGTATACATAGAAGTCTTTAATTGGTATACATAGAAGACTTAGAATAGTAAACATAGAAGTCTTTGAATAGTACACATACAAGTCTTTGAGTCCTATACATTGAAGTATTTGAGTAGTATACATAGAAGTCTCTGAATAGTATACATAGAAGTATTTGAATAGTACACATACAAATCTTTGAGTGGTATACACAGAAGTCTTTGCACGCAAAGAAGACTACTATTCAAAGACTTCTATGTATACCACTGTATACATAGAAGTCTTTGAATAGTATACATATAGGTCGTTGAAGGGTATACATAGAAGTCTCTGAATTGTATACATAGAAGTCTTTGAATACTACACAAACAAGTCTTTGAGTGGTATACCTAGAAGTCTTTGAATATAAGTGTTTGAATAGTATACAAAGACGTTTTTGAGTGGTATACATAGTTTCTATGAATAGTATAAATAGAAGTCTTTGAGTGGTATACATAGATCTCTGAATAGTAAATAGAAGTCTTTGAATTGTATACATAGAAGTCTGAATAGTTGGTACGGCCCACAGCTGCCCCTGCATAGGTCGCCTTGGTAGCCTCCTCGACGGGTAGCCGAGGGTTTGGGCCCAAGTGGCCATATGGAAACTTGACCTATCCTAATACACAATATGGAGAAGGCTAGGAAAATAAACAGATCCGAATCTAAGACCGCCCCAAGGCTTGGTAAGGCCGTAGGTAGAGTATATGCATGTAAAGGGGTGTTTAGTGGTGTGTATATGTAGGTGACCTGGCCCAGCTGAGGTGACCTGGCAGCGGCCGGTTTCCATGCTGCCCTACAATGCTGCATCACTCCAGCAGGCGTCCCCGATGGACAATTTCTTTCTTCATTTCACTATTTCAGTCTATTCACCTTATTGTAAATTTAACTAACTTCAACTCGACTAATTCAACGTTCATCGTAGAATCGACCACGTGATATCCGACACAAGTAACGAACAGTAGTTCAAAGTTCAACATTCAATGTACCGGATTCATTTATGATCAAATTACGAATAGGGAACTAACGCGATCTCTTCATGAGTCACACGGTTCAGCGTTACAAACACAACTAAGCTCCTTCGCTCGATATTAAACACCACGCCGCAATAAGAATTCAAAATCAACCTAACTGACACGTAAACTAGCTACTGAGTCAACACACAAAAGGCTCTTAACACGACGGTATAATTACACAATGATTTCCAAAACCATCTACCGGGCGACGCCTCGAAAAGGAATGCGCGGTTCAATTCCAGACCGTATCTCTACTCGGCGCGCGCTCGAAATTCCACGTCACCCGAGCAAGTTAAATATTGTAAAATGCACTTCAACACGCAATCACTATATAATTGGAGCAATTACTTTCCAACGAAATTACTTTAATCAGTCAAATACAAGCCTCTTGTCACGAACTTAAAACCTAGACAAACTACACCGAGGCGGTTTCACGAAACCACAATTACGTAGCGAAGTAACGCGCACAAATTCTAAAAATCTAGACCATAACCCAAAAGCGGTCGCACGGAAAACTTCTACAGCTGTCACCGAGATACGCTAATTAACTGCACTGCTGCCCTCGAGCTACTGTCTCTAGCCCGCCAGTGCCAAACGCCGGGAAGCTGCCTTCCGCTGCCCCCTCCCCGCGACACGCGTGACACCTGGTACTATCGGGCGACACGCTAAGTCGAACGTGATTGGTGCAGTCTCAAAATGACCATTTTTGGCCTAAACAATAGTACACATACAATTCTATGAGTTGTATACATAGAAGACTTTGAATAGTATACATATAAGTCTTTGAAGGGTATACATAGAAGTCTTTGAATTGTATACATAGAAGTCTTTGAATAGTACACATACAAGCCATTGAGTGGTATATATAGAAGTCTTTGATCGGTACACATAGAAGTCTTAGAATAGTATACATATAAGTCTTTGAGTGGTATACATAGAAGTCTTTGAATAGTATACATAGAAGTCCTTGAGTAATAAAAATTGATGTGTTTGTTGGTCACCTGGGCATGGCGCACATCTCGCAGGCGCGCAGCGCGGCCGCGTTGTGGTACGTGCACAGCGCGCACGTCCACACCGCGC